CCTCGCGGGGACCCCGCGGCTGGGCCCGGAGCGCCCCGCTGGCCTCCGTGAGACCCCGCGGCTCCGCCGGGGCTGGGTCGGCTGCAGGAACGGCGTCGGCGGCCAGCCGTGGGGCAGAGCCCCGGTGACCTTGACCTGCTCTAGAATTTAACGTAAATTTTTATTGGTGACAGAGAAGATAACAAAATCCCCTGTGTTTTGCGTGGTCTTCTGCTACAAGTGTTTGCAGCGTGGGTCCGCCCGACTGCCCGTTTCTCACCTGTGCTCGGTGCGTGGCTGGAGGTGTGATGCAGGCTCATGCTTTACAGCGCTGGCTGGAGCAGCGACACAGAGCTGCCTTTGTCTTATGTACTCACTGCCTGCATCATCAAGGATTGCGAGCTCAGTCAGAAGTTTCTGGAGAGGTTTTCAAACGTCCACCAAGCTTCGGTGTTCTCTGCGCGTTCTCGGAGCTGGGGCATTCTTGGCTTGGTCACAGTAACGCTGAAACCCGACAGGCCGGGCGTCAGGAGGTGTGCAGCTGCTCGGGCTAAAGCTTGGGTTTCTCCATCTTGTGCTTTATTTTAACTGCATGACAACATGCTCACCTGTACTTTAGGGAGTCTCTGTGTTGTGTGGTAGGTTGACTGTGTCATCCCTTTCACTGTTAGCTGAGATGGCCTTACCTACTAGATGAAGGCTTAGCCTGAGCTTCTGGAGGTGTGAAATAAAGCACATGTCTCACTCCCGTACTGTGTGCTGCCCTGACACAGCAAATCCCAGGCTCAAGGGTGCCTGTAGTCCCCAGGTTCATATCTGTGCCAAGATAGAAATAACTGAACTGAATGTCATTTATGTTTTGCTGCCCTGATGCAAGGTGATCTGTGTATGGAAACACTCTTCACAGATGTGCATCCATAGTTAGAAGTGCTGTGAAGCAATACAGGGTCTCAGTTTTGCTCATACTGTGACTCCAGTTCCTGTTTCCATCCTATTCAGTCTCAGTGTGTAGATTTTGTGGCTGATGCCGGGCAGGTGTCTCTTATGGGAGCCTGGGCATGGGGGTGATTCCAGACATGCCTTTGATGGGGGCAAAACGTGACACTGAAGTTCTGCCCGTTTGTGATGGTGGCCTTTGGGGCCCTGACCCCTCAGTTGCACTGTGCACTCCTGTTTTACTGAAACTGTGTCCTATTCCATGAACAGAAATAGAAAGTTGGCTGGGGCTTTGTCCTGTTGCCGGACGTGGTGGGAGGCCCAGGGGAGCGGGGCGGTGTGACTCCGGAGCAGAGCGCTGTGCCAGCAGTGTCCCCGCCTTTGCAGAGGGATGCAGTGACGAGCTGAGCAGACGGACAAGGGTTTAAGCAGCGTGTCTTGTTTTTGTTTGATGGGACCACTTCCCACAGACTGCAGGGCCTCAGCAAGCTAGTTGATAATTTTTTTTCCAGTTTTGCCTTAGCTCATACTTTTCTGCCTGTGGGAAGAGCAAGTCAGTGTCAAAGTGCAGGGCTTGTAGTTGGGGCAAGAAACAATAAGACCATTCTCCCTCCAAGTCCTGACTATTTAACTTCAGAGCTTGACCTGCTGTACTGGCAGCATGATGTTTCTGTAGCAAATACATCCAAAGGCCTGATCTGATCATGTACCCACCAGCTCTTGAACTTGTTGAACTTGTTGAAAAGGAATAATGAGAGCAAAATATGCTCTAGAAACTCACAATAATGCCTTAATTTCTGAAGGCATGTTCTTGGGTGTATGTGTCCCAGCCAAAGCCCAGCAGTGTGTGTGGTCAGTCACCTCAGTGGAGCCAGCAGAAAAGTATGCCTGGGATAAACTAATAAAGGCTGATGAACTAGCAAGAAAATGGGAGAGAGCAAGTGAAGAGGATGTAAACAGACAAACTTGGTGGTGGGAGAAGGGGAGGTGTGTGTGGCTGTGGACGTGGGTTGTGGGAAGAAGGCTGTAGCGCAGCCTGGCAGAGTCCTTGAAGGCCTCTCCTACACCCTGGGACCCCACGGCTCCTGCCCCGTGGTACGGCCGGTTCATGGGGACGGGAAGCATTTGGGATGGAGCCAGCAGGCGAGGCTGTGTGCCAAGAGCGCGTCTTATGCATCCATCCTGCAGCCATCCTAAGCACCTCTGCTGCATGCTGCTTGGGGCTGGTGCTGGTAGTGTGCAGGGACACTTTCTCTGGTGCAGGCAAATCCTTTCCCTCCTAGCTTTGTCCAAGCGGCCCCACAGTGTTTTGAAACTTCTTCCTGCCCCAGAGCTCGCATCCGGCTTCCTTGGCTGCCAGGGCATGCTGAAGACTGGATGTGGCCCCACAGCTCAGAACAACCTCCAGGGAGCATGCTCCCAACTAATGGGAAAAATGTTCTTACTGTTTTGGGCTGTTCCCAGAATAACCTTGCAGCGAGCAGTGCGTGCAGGCCCTTGAGCAGAGCCCAGCACACAGAGCGTAGTGCGGGTGGGGATGGGCCATCTCCTGGGCTGAGTGGTCAGCCATGGTGATGGTAGGTGGGCATACAGGTCAAACTCACCTTGTTTAAAGAGAACTTCATTAAAATAACAAGCTGCCTAATAGGAGTATTTATAAAATCCTACTCCTTAATTTAATCTCATCTTTCACTGTTTGTTTGGGGTTTTTTTTGTTGTTTTTTTTTTTTAAGTTCAAAGGCATGATAGAAAAGAAACCAAACTTTAGCACCCTGGGGGAGAAGTGCACTGCAACTAATCATCTGTGTGATTGCCGAGCCAGAGACTCCCCTCTGACCTGCACAGAGTTCACAAAAACATTTATCCCAGTGTGCAAACTGATTGTTGCTGCTCCATATCTGTTCCAGATGCATCCTCAGTGCCACCCGCGTGGTGGGAGGCTGCCTGGAGTGGCTGGCCTGGTGTGGCAGAGCTTGCCCGTGCTGCGGTGGCCCCGGCAGGTTTGCTGTCTGGGCAGGTGCTCTGTCCACTGTCCCTGCTGGCTGTGGGCACGGGCTGTGGTCTGAGCAGCAGGCAGAGGAAGGTGCTGGGCTCGCTGGGTGCGGGCAGCTCGGCCAGCCTCGCTGCAGCGGGTGCTGCTGGGGGCCCTTTGCCGGTGCCACGGGCACGTCACCCTCTGGCTTCCGCCCTGGGAGGCGGAAAGCCCAGCGCTGCCACCACAGAGGGCTTTGTGTGAGCTGTCACAAAGTGAGGATTGATGCCGTTTCCCCTCCCCCTTCTATGCCGAGCGGAGCCGAAAATGGCTCCCACAAAGGTGCCCTTCTTCATTGAGTACGAGGTGCCAGCAGGCAGAGGGGGCTGCTCTGCAGCACCGTGCTGTTGGTAGGCCCACCCACCAGCCTTTCCGCACTGGTGCCATGGATGCCCAGGGCCCTGTCCTCAGCCTTGCCTGGGCTGACCCGACTGCTGCTTGTGTTCCTGCTGGGGCAGCTGGGACTCCCTGCAGCAGGCCCCAGGGTGGCGAGATGGGGCCTGGGCAGCATTCAGCAGCAGGTCCCTGGCCCGCATTAGCTTCATTCATGCCATCGCTGCTGGGAACAAGGAGGCAATGCTGGGGCTCTGCCTGCATGAGCTCTCCCAGGGCCTGAGAGGGTGGTACACAGACCCTCTGCTTCCCTCCCTGAGGTGACATGTCTGTGCCATCCGGCTACCCCTGCTCCCCTGCCTTTGTGGAGCAAACCAGCACTTCATCAGGGTGGATTTGGTGGAGGCTGTGGGAGCAGATCTGCTTCCCTGCAATGTAGCTGCAGCTGTGTTGGAACCTGCTGTGCGGTGTTCTTAGCATGCTGGGGAATATCGTCACTTACCTGGATTTTGCTTCAAAATGGCCTAAGAGAAGCTTGCATCAGCATTCGTTATCTCCCAGCTCCTCCCGATGTGCAGTAACAAGTCATCTTGCTATTAAGAGTGGCTTGGAAAAGTTTCAGAAAACGTGCATAAAGAACAGGTTGTAATCTCTGTCAAATTCATATGTGTTTGTTCCGTGCTGCACATTTTAGGGAATGGCCTCTGGATTATTTGCAAGGCATCCGGATGAGCCGGTGGGGCAGTGCAGGCAGCAGTGTGGGGTCTGTTGGGGCTGTGCCAGTGCCTCCAGCGTTCCTGCAGTGGGGTCCTGTGCTCCTTGCCCGCCCTGAGGACAGGGAGCCTGCTGGGAGAGGAGGGTGAACCCCTGCAGCTCAGGCTGCACTTCCTGTCATGCCTTGGAGCCTTGGGCTGTGTCGGTTACAAAGAAGGTTTGCTTTGCTCTGTGCATGCTGGATGGGTGTCCAGGTGCCAAAGCAGAGCTCTCCTCTCTGTTTGGTTCAGCAATAGTGTTTGCACCATTACTGGTCGCTAGTGTCTGTTGTTTTGGACTTCTCAAGTGGACTGGCTGTTCATGTGACATTGTTATTATTTACATAGGGCCCAGACTTGCTCTTTCTTATTGCCTGCAGCACGATGTTTGCTCAGACTGGGCACTGTGAAGTGTAAACCCAGGTCCCACTGGCACCAGCACTCACCTCTGCCTTTTCTAGAAGCAGTAAGTAACCAGCCTTCTACATGGCCCAGAAACGCTGGGGTTTGATTGCTCTGATGAGGGAATTGAATTAGGCAGTGCTGGTTCACAGCTTGTCTGGCTGCGCAGCAGTGATGCTTGTTTACTCAAAGCACTGCCCTTTTATCTCAGGGTGCGTGGGGGGTGGTTTCCTGGGGCATTCCTGTCTGAAAGCCAGAGAAGACTTGCCCTAACTGGCTGCCTCTGCAGGAGACCACATGCTGAGGCAGTGGCACCTTTTCCCATCCTCCTCCTCAGCGACTTGTTTCAGCACCTCTCTTGTCCTCTCCTCCTGCTTCCTGCAACAGCATCTCTCCGAAATTGGTTGGTCTTACCTGCTTTTGTCCCCTTTGCGTATCTCCCTCCCCTGACGTTCTTGGTGATGTGTCCCTTTTGGAAGATGCTCAGGCCTCCCCAAGGCCTCTGTCTGCTTTGCACCAGCCCACCCTGTGCTTCCTCTGTGTTTCCTGGTGTCGAGGCTTCCTGCGGCCAGTGCAGTTCTGCATCCAGCGCCAGAGACATCTGTGCTGCTCTGTGAAAATGGTCTGGCTCTGGGGGGTGTAATGGGACTGAAGACTTGTGGGGGAACCCACAGCATGTCTTAACACCCGTAGTGGATGAAAAGCCTCCCTCTGAAGCCATTAGGAGCAGAATTCTTTCTGCTTAAAATGACAGAGCTGCTTCAACCAGCCCGCCTTGGGGTTGAAATTTGTTCTCTGCTTGGGAGGGAAGGTATTGGGTTTTCCCATCATTGCTAGATGGAGACCAGCCCATTGAAGCAACAAAATGAGTCTCAGAGGCTGCCAACCCAAATTCCAAAACTATTTGGCATTGCACAAATGTACCCTCTTATCAAAAGCAAATGAAAGTGCAGAAGGTGTGTCTGGCCTAATCCTGTGTTCACCTTGGCCGTCTGGTGCGTCAGCACAGGCACTGTGGCATGCATGTGGGCTGTTGGTGCTCTGGCTTCTGCCAGGGTGTGCTGCCCAGCAGCCCTTTAATTCTGCTCCTTTCTTCCAGAATCCGTCCATAATGCCTGAGGTGCGAGACCTCTCTGATGCCTTGCCTGAGCTGCCGATGGATCCCATCACAGGTGTTGGTGTGGTCGCATCCCGGAGCCGAGCACCGACTGGATATGATGTAGTAAGTAGAGCTGTTTGAGCTGCTGCTGCTAATGCTTGTTTCTGCACCTTTACTTTGCTGGGAAACAGCATCTCTTCCAGAGAGAGCTTGACTTCAGGTGGTGCTGTGAGAAGTCATTTGGTAGCCAGCTGCCCACCTTTCAGCCCACAGCACTTAGTGCTTTCCCTCAGTGGAGGGTTGTGGGTACAATTTTGCACTCCTCTGCCACTCCAGAGGAGCTTAATTACCTGGAGGAGGGATTTTCAGAAACAGCTGGCCACTGTGGCATGCAAATTTAATAATCCTGGTAATATTCATCCTGAAGGAGTCCTAAGTATTGCACAAATTATATCTCTGCATAAATGGATCCCTCATCAGCTGTTTAATCCCAAATATCAACACTGCACAATGATGATGAGAAGCTCCAGAATGGGAAGCAAAGAGTTTTGCATCCAGACGAAATTGCAAGGATGATTTTGATGGGCAGAATGCAAACCTCTAAACTAAGGTTTGGCTGGAGACTGGCAGCAGGAAAAGGCGGCTGGATACAGGGAGGTGGATAAAGGGAGGTCACTGTTTAACAGCTGCCTGTTCTTTGGATTAGTTGCTGTGTAACCAGCAGCAGGATATTTCTCCCCATAGATAAGTGTCCCAAACTGTGAAATACCAGAAAATGCTGACCTTGCACAGGTCTATAGAGAAAGATTTAACCTACTTGCCTTTCTGTGTGTTCTGCTCCAACTGTGCTACATCACACCTTGGGTATCCAGAGCCACACAGCTTGCATGGTGGGAGTGGAAACCAGCTGTCTTGAGGCTTTGCTCACAGCTCTTCAGCGCTGGATCATTGCATACCTTGTTCAGTGTGAAGGAAGAAAATGGATCAGGCTGGTGTGACTGGACATGGGCTGTGGGAAGAAGGGGGGGAATTATGAAAAGGTGCCTTAAAGACCTGGGAGTTTTTTTGCATTTTCTGTATTTTTCTGACTGCTCATTACCTGTGTGAGCCAGGCTGTGTAATTAGCTGCTTGCCCTGATAAAGGAGCATGGGACAGTGTGAGAGCTGTGATAACAGAATTGCATTTTGCCTAAGTGGCTGGGCAGAGAGAGCGCTCACCCCAGATAGCCTGTCTGTGGCTTAATGGGGAGCTGCAGTGCTAAACTAAACAAGATAAAAGAATCTTCCTGTGGCTTAATCCAGTTACAGTGGTGGTGTAATAATGCTGGTGAATGTGGGTCGCTCTCTCCTCGGGGCACAGCGAGGAGCTGCCTTTGCTCTGGTCCTGCTGCCTCCCTCTCTGTTCCCAAGGAGCACTCTGTGCCCCTGGAGCAGGCCCGGGGGCAGTGCCTGCTGCCTGCAGTCTTTCTGTGAGCACGGCTGCCTGGGTGCTGCCAGCCACCCTCGGTGTCCTGTCCCTGTGCAGCACCTGCTGTCACAGGGCCACGCTCGGTGCCACCCTGGTGCGACAGGACGGTGACGTGCAGGGCTGTGCTTTTCTTGCCTGGGTGTCTGTGAAGGTGGCTCGTCTGTGAGCCAGGGCACTGGAGCAGTGTGTGGTATGTGGGGTTGCCACTTCCCCATGACCTCTCTGGAGCCCAGTCTGGCCCAGCTGAAGGTGTGAAGCTGAGTGTGCACAAGTACCCTGCTCAGTGCAGCAGAGAAATTGTGTTCTGAGATGTGGCAGACCTGGGCAATCTTGGGCTTTGTGTTTCTCCAGATACGCAATTTCCCTAATGAGACACCGACAGCTGGTTGCTGCTCTAGGGTGGAAAGCCTTGAGGAAGGCAGCTGTGGCAGCTCCACCCCAGGAGTGTGCTCCCTAAAGCCCTCATAGTTAGAGGTGCACACTGCACCCTGGAAAGGAGAATCGCTCTCATCTCTTGGGAAACATCAATAACTGTGTGTCTTGGGATGTTGTTGTAGTTTCCTTAGGAATCCACTGGCTTTGCCTGTTACTACAGCATCCTGCAGCATTCAGTTCCACAGGTGGATTCAGAATTGCGTGGGAAAGTATTTCCTCTTAGGAGTGATTAATTTGACATCATGTAGTTTCACTGATGGTTCCAAGTTTTGGGACAGTGAAGTACCCAGCTCTCTCTGGAGATATCTGTTTTATTTGTAGGCTTTACCCAGTTCCCCTTTCATTTGTATCCTTTCTCTAATAAACAGCCATGGCCAAATTATTTTCCTTCCTCTTCCCTTTGCTCCTCTTTAGAAGAAACCTGCAGAGGTTAAACCTCCAGTAAGTTAAATGCCTGGGGATGTCTGGGTCTGTTTTCCAGGTTGTGTGGAGCCCCAGGGCTTGAGCCAGCAGTGCCCAGGGTACTGGACCTGGGGGTGTCCTGACAAATGGGCCAGAGGTCTTTTTCCCCCAGTAGTTTTTTAATTACTCTGGAATCTCCATTGCCTTTGTGTCTGTTTAAAACTCAAATGTGTTACTGGCTCTTTGAATGACTGGCCAGGCCTTTTTGCAGCTGAAGGGCCAAAGACTTGATTTTGCCAAAATGTACAGAGTGTACCTGAACTTAGATTCCTGAAAACCTGACCAGACTGGTGAGACTGTCTGGGTGGGGAGGAGAGGTGGGAGGCAGGAGCCTGGGGTAGGAGAGAGGTGTGGTTCCTGTGTTCTTTGCTTCAGGCTGAACCTGCTCCATGGTGGGGTTTGCTCTGGGGCAGCTCCCGAGTGAGCTGCTCACCCAGGGCTGTGTGGGAGCAGGAACAGCCCTGACTCCACTGGAGCAGCTTATCACCCTCTGGGGCAGGAGGTTTAGAGGACCTGCTTTCCAAAGGCCTGACTGGGGTAGCAGTAACCTATTCTGACTCTGTGCAGCAGGTAGATCACCCTGCACTTGGAGGGGGTGGGCTGGGGGCAGCTTCCTTACTGTGTGTCACTCTGTCAGGTCCATCTGTTTGTAGCACGTGGGTAAGGAGTGACTTCCCTCAACTCCATGAGGAGAAGGACTGTTTCTTGTGCCTGGTGTGCTGTGTGCCCAGTGCTGGGTGCTGTGTGGTCCGTCTCACACGTTCCTTGCCTCTGAGCCAAGGCAGGACTGGGCGAGCTGGGGCTGCCGAGGGCCTGTCCTGCTGCCCGGTCTCTGCCCTCGACTCCTGTCCCAAGGGCACACTGCTCAGCCATGGCTCCTGTCCCAGGG